GTTATTTATATACAACAAACCAAGGAAGAAAGGGGAAGTTGTTTTATATATAACAAACCAAGGAAGAAAGGGGAAGTTATTTTATATATAACAAACCAAGGAAGAAAGGGGAAGTTATTTCAAAAATTGCAAGTAGGGAATAAAGGGGAAGTTAACTTTAGTGTTTAAAAAGAAATATAATACTATTAGTAAAACAAAAGTTATTTTTAAGGAGTTCAAACTGAACATTGGTAGAGAACATTAAGATGAAGCTTACCACATCTGTGGGATCTATGGGATCGCTAGTGTCAAATTCTGTTTCTAGATTTGCTAAAGTCTCTCTTTCCTTTGCTCTGTCGGGATCAGTAGTTAATGCTTGGGAGTGATGGATATCCCTGAGAAGAAAAATAAACTCTTTTTTTTTGTGTGTCCTAGGACTCAAGACATAGCAGATTTTCATTCATTAAAACCAGCTCATCAATATTCTAACATCAGTTATAAAAACTTGTCACCAGATCTGTCAGAGTATAGTGATCAAGTGGTAACAAATCTTCATCTTAGGGTTAAATTATTAATTTATCTTAACAACTAAACTGAAATACAGATTTCAAGCAATATTATCAGGTACATTTAATAAAAGCTCTACAACAGTTACAATTACAATGGCATGACTGTTTTTGATCAAATCTGTTACTGTAGTATAATAAACACTGGATAATGAAAGAATAATGCATGAAATACCAATTTTCAGGTGGAAGCAGCTCTTTCTGAAGTTGTAGTACTTGAGAATGAGCATATACATTAATTTCATCCATCAGCTCTTGATTCTGATTTTGTAGTTGTTGGTACTCTTCTTTCAACTGCTTTAACTCCTCTTGTGTTGACCTATGGGATTCTTTTTCTTGATTACACTCTTGTCGAAACAGTTCCACCTGGAGGACAGATCAGTAACTTGCTTCAGAGAAGGTTCACATAGAGAAAGTATAATTGTTAGTGGACTGCATCTGGCTAGGAAATGTATGGATGTCATTTGAAGCTGCCTGCAATGTGATGCTAGCAGCTCAAAATGTTGTCTTTAAACTTTCTACACAGATGCAGTCCACTAACGGTACCTTTCAAGTAGATCAGTAGCTAGTTAAAAAAAACACTTGGGCAAATGCCTTAGTTATGCCTCAAAAATAAATAAAAACTTAAGTTACATATTTATGAGAGCTATGTTTGACGTACGTTAGATAAATCTAAATTATTCAACAACACACTGGCAATTCCAAATTAATACCAACATTTAACTACATGTTAATCAATTAATGCTTGGGCTTCAAACTCCAGTATTTACTTTCCTTGTGTGTAAAATTTACCCATTTTAGCTTTTCATCCCACCTGTCCTTCTAAGACGGGCAATCTTTCCATCTGAAGCTTCAACTGACTTAATTCGAAATTCAGTTTTATAGATTCTTCCTTGTAATGAGCCAGTAACTCTTCTGTGTGAACAAGTTGAGCTGTTACAGCATCCAACTCTTCCTGGTGTTTTCTCTTCTCAAGCTGAATCCACGCTTCTCCCTGGGTACCTGTGAAATATACACTCAGAACCAATAAAAAAATACCAACTGAATCCATGCTTCTCCCTATGAAATATACACTCAGAACCAATCAAACAATACTGGCTGAACCCATGCTTCTA